GGGCCCGCGCCCCTCCCCGCCGCCGCCCCTCCCGCAGCCCGCCCGCCCGCTGCCGCCCCCGGCGGCCGGTGCGGGGCCGCGCCGCTGCTCGCCGGGCTCGGGCGGCCCATGGCTGCCCCCGCTCCTCGGAGGGCGCAGGTGAGGAACTTTCCCCGCCGCTGCCCTCGTTTGCTCTCCGTGCGGTGCACTTTATCGATCCGTGCCGCTGCCTCGGGAGGAGGGGGCGGTCGCAGGGGGAGGTTTTCCTAACGCGCTGCCGGGAGCGGGACTTTAACGCTGCTGCCCTGCAGAAACCTTCCTGACCTCCCGAAGTCGGGAGAGGTCTATCCAAAAACATCCCCTAATAATCCACGTTTGTTCAACCGGAGATGCTGCGCACTGCAGCTGTAGCCACCGCGGTGTGTGGGGCTTCCAAGTCCCAGCATCTTGCTCCAGAACTCTTGAAGGAAACGCGGAAGCAGTAGGAAAGGCCATATAACTGTAACTTAAGCCCTGCAAGCCAGGCGCGAGGAAGAAAAGGATGGAAACGGCTTCAAAAGTTCTGTGATGGGGAAAGAATGGCCCTTTGGCTCCAGGGCAGGTCCTATGCAGTTATAACCCAGCTGAAAATGTACCCACAGCTGTGTTTCAGTTTACTCCAAAATGGCCATATGCCACCACCACCACACGAGGTTCAGCTGCACAGCATCCCAACACCTCCCCTCAAGACAGCGCTGTTGCATTGCTGCAGCTCCAGCAGAGGATGGCTGTCCTGGGCAGCACTGCTGTCCCAACGCTGACCACAACCAGGTCTGCACTGTGCAGATACATGGGAACAAATGGCAAAGCAGGCAACAAGGACAACATGGGAAAGGGAACATCTTTCTGATTTGATTCTGAGAAATGTTACTTGCAAGATTTATTGCAGCACAAACATTGAGACAATTGGGAATGCCAGATCAAAGAATCAGGACTGCTTATTTTGGGGTGTGGATTTGGAAATATCATAATCTGAAGCCAAGAAAGATCTCTAAAATGATGTTTTGCTCCACGAGCAAAATTAAACATAGCATGGATATACATCTGTATTTACATGGAGTATTTATTATCTAGCTTTATGGAAAAAATGTGCATGAACTGGTAAGTGCCTAAGCAGAAAAGAAAGCAGACACATGCAGCCAAATACTTAATCCAATTGCATATTCATTTAGCATCAACCATTCCTAACCAAAGGGAAAAACTGCAAAAATCTGCTCTGTTGCTACAAGGAGAATGGTTGAAGAACGCGCAGTTGAGTGTTCCCACAGGCAAACCCCATACCTGTGGCAAAAATTATTTATGCTCCTTAGAGAAAGCAATTGTTTAGAAATAAAGACAGCCAAGTACTGAATCTGCTTCAGAACGCACCACTGCATTAGAGCAGTGCTCCAGTAGCAGAAAAGTGGCCATGCGTGGGCACAACAAACTCTTCTCAGCATTGAGCTTGGGCTAATAAAGCAATCCCTGCTTTGCTTTAGTCATTAGGTGGCAAACGTTTCTGCAAAACAAGTGGATGTGCTGGATAAACAACTCTCAGGTAGCAAGGGCAGAGTGCCTTGCTATATAAATGAAAGGGCATTTCCAGACCCCCTTGCTCTGGCTCTCTAAACTCTTAATGCAGTCTGAAAGCATGCTCCCATGGAATCCAGAAGGAAAGTGCTTGAGCAAGGAATAACAGGCAAATGATTATGAGTTCAGGATTTGATCCTGTGGTTGTATTGAAAGGATACCCCACGTGTGGCAGATCCATGCAGCATATGGCTCTGGGCTATGCACAACCTGCAGAGCACTGCTGCTGGACAGGCAGGCAGGCCTGGAGCAGTGTCCTGGCAGCTCTACCCCAGGCCAGCCTGGCTCCAAGCACAGGATGTGGGGCAGGATACAGGGTCGCTGCTGCCTTGGAAGCAAGTGATGGGACAGTGTTGCAATGGAGCATGCTGCTTCCAACCCTGTTTCTTCTGAAAAGAACACGTACAATTGGAAAATTCCAGCATATTCCACCTGTCCTCAATGTGGAAGTCAGTATGAAATTGAAATGGAAAAAAAATAGTCAGATATTAGTTTGTCTTTAATTCCAGCAAGGTAAGATGCTTATCCCCAAAATATTACTTGGGCAAAGGCTTTGAAACAGTGTGTATTTTTAAACTTAGGAAACTAAAACACAGAAATCCAGTGGTTTTTGGAAGAAAAAAGAAATCCAGTTCCTGACCATGACAAACTGGGATCTCTGCCAATGCCAAAATTCAGCATTTTGTAGAACTGGTAAGACTGCAGCGAACTTAATGGGTGATTTGAAGAACAGAAGAGACACTGGGATAGATGTGCTAATTTGTTTTTTCTCTTTAAACAAAATATTATGTTTTATGTGATAATGCACCAGAGGGAATTTTACAATCTAAAAAATTAACAAGTGTGTGTTTTCCTTTCTTGACACCTCTTCAATGTAGTTTATTAAATAAGTAAACTCAAGTAATCTCTGCTAGGCTTTAAATCCATATACATGAAGTTGGAGCTGGCTGTTAGGAACAAAGTATTTATCTCTGGGGTACATTAAAGATAGAATAGGAGCCAAAGAACGTTTATCTTTCTGTACATATCACTTGAAAGGAGTCCAACAAATTCTCTCAAATCATTCAATTTGAGATCCCTCAGTAAAACTCCAGTTTCAGAATTCTACATTTTCTTTCAGAGCTGCTGGAAGTATCAATTATTTGCAACTTGAATCATTGCCCATCTTTTCTGCTGATTGAATGACAGGAAGCATCTTTCTGCTCTAAGCAGGGCACTCCAGTTTCTCTGGTACTGGGCAGCCTCGGTTTCAAAGAAACTTTCTGAGAACTTGAATAGAACTGGAGTGAACTTGAATGAAACTGGACCGTGTGCCTACTAATGCCAACAGTGATGATTCAGGCAGTCACACACAAACTGTGACTTTGTTCCATCTTCAGCTATACTTTCTTCTGAGTCATCAGCACAACTCAATTTTAAAAGCCATTAAGGATGCTCAGACTGCTTTTCTGATGGAAGAGCAAAAATTGGACTGCAGTGAATCAGTCACATATAGAGTTGAAAATGCGCGTGCACAAATTCTCACGGCTGCCCAGTGCAGCATTTGCCTGCTTGCATAGGTAAATACCGATGTTCAGGTGCTGCTGATTTCCACACCAGCCTGGCAAGCCCTTTTCTCTATGCTAGGACACAGCAAGGCAGCACAACACATTCCACGGTTATGGCTTATCTGCTTTGTCCAGTGATCCTTGCTGCTACCTTTATGGACCACCCAAACTGCATTATTGTAAGCCCTGCCTCAGGCTCCCAGTCTGTATCACAAACCCCATGCCACAGGTTGTGGCTCATTCTTTTGAAGCCAAAAGCACATGGTCTACATCTGGTGGCCTCTATGGCCTGGGCGGAGCAAGAGGAGGGGGAAGAACACAGCATCCTCACGCCATCTGCTGAGGAGCATGCCTGGCCCTTCCCACCAGAGCAGCCATAGAGGATGAAGGGGCATAGAACATAATGAAAGGAAAACAGGTGAAGAGAAGATAGAGCACCAACCAGGTTAGGTTTAGAAAGCAATCTATACCCTTTTAGAATCAATAGGAAATCCCTTTAATTGATTGCAATGGGTTGTGAATTAGACCTATACTCTACTTATCAAGTACAGCTGCAGAGAATCAATGATATTTTGATTTGTTCCTCAAAAGAACAAGTGCAGTGGAAACTTTTGTCTAAGAAAAAGCGCAATTAACAGCATACTAATTAGTTCATCTCACTGATGTCCCCTTCTCAGCACGTAGGGTCAACTGGCATTCACAAGCGATCTTACAGGCAGAAATACTCTACATAAACAAGGCAACAGAGCAAAAACTTGTTTTGTTTGCATTAATTCAGCTCAAATATTCATTGATACCTCTGTTTCTCAGCACATATCTCAAGCAGAGATTGATAAATGCTTATTAGTCACTGACCACGTTTCCTGCAGTAGAGGAGAGATGGGAGCAGCCATGTCACCTGGAGATCTGGAGCTTGGTGCCCATCTGCCAGCTGGTTCTTTGCCTCCTCTGCCTCCATTGCTTTATGCAGAAAACTACAAATCAAATGGTATATTAAAAAATTACTGTTGTAGTCATTCCTTAAAAATACTAATCATTATTTAAATATATGCAAATGTAGAGTGATTTGAGGAAAAAAAAAAGCAAAAATATAAGTTATTGGCTAGCTAAAATTCTATTTCTTCTGGTCTGAAGTTGGGAAATGCAGGATTTTATGACAATGGGAAAAACAAAACGCTGAAGCTTTTCTAACACTTACATGCACCTGATTTGATGCTTCTGTGCATTACTGAAATCTCATTTTACCTTAAGTGTTTCACAACCTCAACCTGTGTTTGGCAATTTTAACCTTATTCTAACAGAAAAAAAAAAAAAAAAAAAAAAAAAAAAAAGCATTCAGATTTATTGGCTGTTTACAAAACACAGACAGCCACGAAGTTGAAGCATTATTTCTGTCTTAAAGCAAAAAGGTTTTTGTCACTTTAAAGAAAGTATTCCACCGCACTCCAAAATAACCTGTGTGTAATGGATAATACAGGATTACTTTTTGACAGCGTGAATATCCTGTTGCTATTGACTGCAGTGCTACAGTATCCTGACACAGTAGTATACAGCTATTGTGAGATAAAGACCACGTTGAAAAACAAACTGACTGCAGTACTGAAAACAGAAAAGGAACTGTCCGGTGATGTAAAAATTAAATTCTTTAAGAGAACAATGACTGGAAGAGTGTCATTTCTAGAAGAAGCATTAAAGAATAAAAGCTTTAGATGAAACTAAGAGAACAGTGCAAGGTATTCTTTTCTTCTGCAGCTGCCATTCTAAAGCAAGATGGAAAGGCCTGGTTAGAGACAACTGTAAATATATTTTGTTTTATGTTTCTGTTGATATAAAGCCATCACTATGTTTTTGGATGTTCTTTTGGTTGGTTGGTTTGGTTTATTTTCCCCTCTGGCCCTCTTCATATTCGTACAGAATTTAAACAAATGAATTAATTAAAAGAGGGGCATCTACTGTTTAAAAAATGCCTGCAACCTTTCAGCAGAAAAATGCTTATCGAAAGCAACCCAAATTCTTCTCTGCATTTCTGCGTTAGTCTTAAGAAACTTGTCAGGAAGAAACTTTCATTTTGCATTAGAATCAAATCTTATTACTAAAAGAATTATTTTAATGAAACTTATCTGAAAGGTCTTAGTGAGATACAGTGAAAAGTATTTCCTGATGAGAAAGGTTACATTTAATCCTCATCACTGCACCAGATTCACTCAGAAATGCTTTTCAGTTTTCATTTCACCCAATGTTCTATCAGGCAATTAGTTGAAAAATACAGTAACATACTCTAGGGGGGCTGCCATCCTCATGAAAATGAGGTGCAAGGAGATGCTGGGCCTCAACGCTGCTGGGAAAGAAAGGGATGACCTATGTAGGATATCTGCTTGACTTTTGTTAGCAGGGATGGCCATCTGCTCTCGTCTTCTTCTCCCAATTACCACTTCCCATCCCACAGTTGTGCTGTGGGAAGAAGCAAGACATGCAAAGCTGCTGTTCTCCTGTTCCTCGCTAACGAGGCAGTGCTCCATCTTGGTACCAATGTCACCTGCTACCAGCACAGGTAAACCACAGGATGTGGTTTAGTGGAGAAATATTGCTGGTAGGTGGACAGTTGGACTAAATGATCTTGGAGGTCTTTTCCAGCCTTAATGATTCTATGATTCTATAAGGTAATTAGTGATCAACGCTAGAGAACATATGAAGATAAACAAAAAATTATCTATCCACCTTTGAGAGGGCTGTTAACATACAACCTTACTGGGATAGATCAGATCCATGCAATGATTGAAAATGATCTTTCAAAGGACTTGTTGGTTATTCCTGTGTCTAATTAATGCAATCCTCCACAAACCTATTATTAAGTCCAGAATTAACAGCAGGAAGATTCCAGCTGAGAATCAGAAAACAAGCCATTTTTTGGTAAGTTCTGATACGAAAGACTTCGGGATTTAGTAATACACACATACATAAATTCATCAGGTTAAAAATTAACAAACACGTTTCTAGAAGTATGATCTAGGGACTGCAACTTCTCCAAACAGAACCGCTATGCTTTCATTCAGGAGACGTAAGCTCGGTTTACAGAGTTGAGCTCTTTTTCTGATGCTTCAATGGACTGAGTTTTCAGCATGCAAAAGCTAAAGACAGATTTCACCCAGTTCTCTATTTCCCCAAGCTTATTCTTACAGAATCAGCCCTCGTTTCCACGAATGGCTAATATTTAATAAAACATCTGATCACAAAACCAAATCTAAAAAGCAGTAGTAAAATAACACTCCAAGTTGCTGCTAAATACAATGTGTTTTGATATAAGTCCATTTCAACTCCATTTATTTCAGGGTTCTACAGCAGTCAGAATAATCAATGCGGAATTTTCCATGCGATTTACACATTGCTTTTTAAAATGAATTGACTGAAACCAAAAATGTTTATTTCTGCTGCCTCGCTCGTTTTCTAAAACATATTCTCTTTCTTTTAAAGTGAGAGAACGACCTCTCCTTCAGGAACAATTTTCTGAGACAGTGTGTTTATCAAATGGCTTCTCTGCTTTCATGAAAACAATTTATTTTCACTGAACTCTTCAAGATAAGCATCGAAGTCAGGAAGAATGTACAATGACATTTATAATTACATTCAAAAAACAAATATTTTGCTCAAAGAGAGGTTTTGGATTTTTATCTTCTTTTAGCGATACAAAACACTTTTCTTCCCCCAACATGCCAGCTAAAGATATTTTCTTCCTGAAATTACAAATGTATTTTCATATGCATGGAAAGAGAAGCCTGGGACAGTAATCTTCTCATAGAAAGGCTACAGTATGCATCCTAAACAATGAAAGCTGTAGCATAATCCTTACAACCAATTTGCCTTCCCTGCCCCACTCTTCGGAAATAATCTGCAGACAAATGACAGGGAAAGCAGGGGGATTCGTGACCCTGCACAGCCTCCTCCAAACACACCCATATGCCCAGTCCTGCAAAATGGACAAAACAATTGTCCTGTGGAATGGCACGTCCACCTCTCTGGCTTTGCTCCCGCATTCTCCCCTTGCTCAGAGGGTTTTGTAAGCCCTAGAGCTCTCTGCAGAGTCTATGGACACTGGCATGGTGTCCCACCCCTCCCCCCATCTTTGGGGAAATAGATCTTGCTTAAAAAACTCCCCGTTTCCCCTGCAGATTCAGCTCCAGTTCCATTTTCAACTACCAACAACAAAAGCTCGGTCATGCCAGACAATTAATGCTTCCTGCTATATTCTCAGCTGCCACTGAAATCAAGGTAGTCCATAATATAGCTCATCTTTCAGGACAAAGCAGCCATAAATTTATCCGTACCGTGCCTGTATTTTCTAATGTAAATTCAAAAACTACCTATGCAAAAGCTGCCCATGTATGTATTTAGGGCTTCTTTTTGAGCTGCATGGAAACACGAGTGTTACTGAGTTAAAAAGAAAGACACCAGTAGAATGCTCTTTAATTTGTGGGAATTCATTTCAGAAGTAAAAATTGAAGATCCGGTTCATTCCTTGTCAGTCAGACATCCCAGCTTTCATTATTCCATTTTTCAGTGCATGGAGTTGGTTCTCATCATAAAGATTCTCTGATAAAGTTCTCCTCTGGAGACACACTCTTTTTGTAGGCTCAGCTAGTGAAGAAATATCATCCATTTGTAATACTCATCAAAGAGAAGTGGTAAAAAATCAAAAGCAGCTGAAAAGAGATTGTGTTTCACTAATATACACTGAGGCTTTATTTAAAATAGAAAATGTTAAATTTGATCAAATATCAGCCCACCATTCAGAGTGAAATAATCTCTTTTAATTTGCATGTATCTGTGTGTGCCAAAGAGAAGCGTGTTTGCTTTCAAGCAGGTGCACATCCTGCTATGACTAAATCTCTAACTCATCAAATTGCTTTACCAGTGTGGGACATGCCCTTTTTTCTGGAACAGCTTCAAGCATTTTCCCCAGCATTTCAGCCACCTGTTTACTGAGTTCATACTCCAAAGGAGATGCATGCAATTAGAAACAAGGAAATGAAAATAAATGACCTTGTTTGTTATAAATAACAAAGAGACTCAGCAAAATTAATGCAGTGAAGCCTGACCTTGTGACCTGAAAGAAAGAATCACCTCATTCCTTTGTAGCAGCCTCACAATGCGCCAGCACCAAGCATTGTTATGCAGCTTTGCTTCTTTTGATGGATCTTAAAGGAGTATATTCTAAATATTAAATGTTTTACAAGTTAGATTAGGAAATTTGCATTAAAAAGCATGATGAAACAAAGTCAAAAGAGCAATGCTTATCACTGTTTTTCTCAAAGAGCACAGGTAAGTTGTGAGTGTGTCAGTTCCCTATATTACAGGTTGTTTTTTTTCCATTGGAAAAAAAAAAAAAGGGGAATTCTAGGTACTAAAGAGAGTTGGAAAATGTCTCTTTTGGTGAACTGAGCAGGAAGAAAGTTTTTAATTACCCAACTCCAAGACAAGGAAACATTTTTCTTTTGTAAATTCTTTGTGCAATGATGATCTGATCTGTAAGAAAAAAGCAATGCACTTCCACAGCTACTACAGAAAAGCCACAATTTTTTTTCATTATCCTTTGATTAGGTGAGCAGAAATACCTCCTTTTGTACAAAGTCTACTGAATAACGTTTCTACGGGGTACATTTTCACTTTTGAATGATTCATGTCATTGTGGAACAGTGTCCAGCTGTAATGGAGGGCAAGGTGTTAGAAATTTGTTTCACTCCTTGTCTCTGGAGGTAATGAGAACATACAGTTGTTTTTGTGGCAAAAAGAACAGTGTGTAATTACAGTGCTCGTTCCCATCCTGTCACTCTCTAAAACAAGTCCCTTATTAATGATGCAACTTGGAACTGCTGCAGAAATGAAAGGATAACACATTTGCATCTCACTGAAAAGGCAGAGCCCACAACAGGTATTGTTTGACAGGGTTTTTTCCAAAATGTGTTTTCTTTCTTTTTCC